TAAAGCATACTGTCTTTGAGTGACAATTAAGGCATGCATCTAAACACTTCTTCCTCCAAGTAAGCTTTAAAACTGTCCAAGAGTTATATTAGCACAACAGTATGCTAATTACATTTTCTATTTGAAATACTATTGCTAGGACTTGGCTAGCGAGAAGTAATTTGCAATTTGTAAAGTGCTGTCAAAACTACAAAAGTAGAAATAATCAGTGGAAAAGTGTTAAAACTACTTTGTCCAATGTTGACACACACACACACACACACATACACACAAAAGAGGAAACCACAGTTCCTGGTGGGAACAGGGATGTTATGACTGATACTGGCATGGAAACTGTACTTCATCCAATGTGTGCATGACACATGTTGCAAGAGTGGGGGTTAGGATGTGTGCATGTGTGTGTTGGTGTGGGTGTAAAAGATGCAAGAGGAACACTTCACTGGAGCTCATACACAGAAGAATTGAACCAAATCCAGTTTTAGCACTCTATCTCTCTCGGCCAGACACACACATAAGTACACACATAAGTACACACATGCAGACACACACACACATATTGTAACATATGGAGATGAGGCTGAGAACTGGCCCTGTTCAGATAAATGTACCGGATACTGCTGCTTCCAGGCTCTAATCTAATGACTGCGTGTGTGTCACCTCCTCTGCTTCTTTATTTGTGAGGACCAGTTTTAGTGTAGGTCAGATCTTCCATTCTTCAAAATGCCTTTGTGAAAATGTAGACTGTTGGTGATGTTGTAGTGGATTTTAGGGTAAGAAGCTAGTTAAAGTATCATCTCAATAAGGGTCTTCACAACTATGCGTCTTTGAGGGAGTAAGAGGTCCAGCAGGATTACTCTTATAATCTGCAGGAAGGACACACACCACCTACCGCTTTACTATAGATACACCATCTGTTGCTACTGGAAAATTGAAGTGTGTACAACATTAAGTTCAGATACATTTAAACTGCTTATTGCATTGTTTTTGTTGTTGTTGATGGAATTGTGTTTTCTCCCAGATTAAACTCACAATTTTAAACGTGATGTTAACTTTGTAAATTGCAACAACAACAAAAGACGCAACAGAACACTGACACATTTGGTTATGTTTTGGCAACAAAGTACTTGGCTCAATTTTAAACAAGATCAAGGTTTGGCTTAAAATGAAGAAGTTATAAGTCATTTAACTTATAGAAGTTAATTTTAAAAAGTCTGTGTTACATAAAGAGCGTTCTCCTTGGTAGAAGTTCTGTATTTGACTTTGATCAAAAAACGCGTTGTGATACGGCCCAATATAACTGACAATGTAGTTTAGTTTAAAGGGAATTTAATTTTCAGGGGATGAGGATGCAGAATTACTACTGTAAAAAATTATTCAAGTGAGATATATAAATCAGTGTAGGTGGGAAAAAACTGAGAAGAGATCCAGAGCAAACCTCGAATGACAACATAAAGAGAAATGCTTGAGCTTGCTCTTAAAAACAATGGACTGCATCAAACAAATACATTCACTGTATATGTAATGTTAACTTTACAATTAGGACAGAATATACATTGGTGGCACGCCTGGCAAAAATATTAAACAAAGCATCATAAAGCTGTCCTGGTTTAAAATCATGACTGTAGTGGTGGTGTCTCCTTATTTGGGCAACAAGCCGCTAGCTAAGCTAAACATATCCAACCAGTCTCTATAATCGAGGCAGAGAGATGAAACTGTCGAACACCTGGTGAGGCAAAAATATATTGTATAATTTCCAAAATGTTGTATGTTACTTTCAAAGGATCGGTTCACTCAACATATTTTTTACCTAAGAGACCGGGTAGAGACCATCAGTGTTAGATATCTATTATGTTCAGGCCTTCAAGGCAAATGCACAAATGACTGTCTCTGGGGATCAAGTACAACTGGTGTGTTGACATCATGAGAATCCTCACAACTATTTCCTGTGTGTGAGTGTCCAGATGTCTGTGGCCTGTGGGAATGAGAGAAGTGTGCGAAACGGACAGGAAATGATGTCAGACATTCTCAAGCAGACTCTGACAGGCGTAACACACACTCACAATGGATGCCGAAAAGCACAAGATTACTAAAACAGCATAAATAAGCGCATGTGACTTATGTTATAAGATGTTTTTTTCAGTTAATATTCTTGTTGTGATTCTCTTTCTATCTTTTCTCCATCTTTCCCCGACATTTAAGCCCCCATATTCTCCTTCTAGGAGCATTAAATGTCAAGTGAGTGGGAAAAAGAAAGACGGTAGAGGGTTATGAGTGTCTTTCAGTGCGTCAGTTTAAGTCTGTGTGTGCTTTAGCCAATTTGTGAGCATTTGCATGTGAGTGAGTCATCACATCAGGGCCTTAACGCATCAACAGCAGTTAAGCCAATTTATTTTGTAAAGCAGCTCAGCAAGTCAAGGTCAAATCAGACGGTAAACACTCATTTCCTTTCCATCACTGAGAGGGACTCTGTAATCACCAGAAATAGCAATCTCTTGCTATTTTATGAAACATTTCTTGATTTGTACTCATTCCAAGAGGGGCTCATTTATTGTAAGGCAATGAGAGTCTAATTATAAAACGATTTTAAAAGAACTCTTGGGGATTTAGGAACATCTAATTCAAGTAACCTTTTTAAAGAATCATGTTTTTTTCAGTCAATAAACAACAAATAAGGGGGAAACGTAATAAAAAGTAAGCATTACCTGCATGCTAAATATAGAAACTCCTTTTGTCCATGTAGCGTATATAGGCACATTAGCCCAGGTTGGACACTGCTACCTTTACCATCGTAGGGAAGAACATCCATGCTAAATTGCATTCCTTTTTTAATCTGTACAGCTGAATAAAGCAGCAGCAGTTAGCTTTCATAATGTATGATTTGTTGCTTGCTAATGTGAGGTACCTGATGATATTTATGATATGTTGTAAGCTAGTTGTTGTTAACTAGCATGCTGTTAGCTGAAGATGCTAGTTGGTGATGATGCAGACAAAAGTAAATAGTACTAGGCTCCTGTGTTAAGTGAATGTGTGGGTGCAGGTAAAGTGTTTTCTTTGTCGTGGGTCCAACTCATTTACCTGAATTAGCATTTAGCATCAGAACAAATAGCATGTTGAAGACAGATGGAGCATTTGATGTCCACAGATTTAACAGCTGTTACTTTTGGTATTCAAACCTTTTTTGATTTGAGATTATTTAGATGGCTCAACTAAAGTCTACTTTTTTTAATGCTGGTTAAGTTATTTTCCATTAGAGCTCAATCAGTATTATTGAGTCATGGGGGCATGAGATGAGTGTCTGTTTTTATAAAGCTAATGATAAAGCCACTAGAATAAACACAGAAGTGACTGTGAGAGGCGGGCAAAAGAGAAGCTTAGCATGGGATTAATGCACACAAACACGCACACACACACACGCCCACACACACACACACACCATGTTGTAACTTGAACTGCTGTCTGAGTCTCAGGCGGCAAGACGACATAATCAGCCATGTGTTGTGAGAGAGGTCGGGTTTGTTTCCCTGCTGTGTATATTTTTCCATATCCTGTGTTTATGACCCCTCTTTGCCAATGCAGCCAACAGATGTAGACTTAACTCATTTTATTCCCCAAGCTTTTACTTTTTCTCAATAATTTCTGACCTCACCCTCCCACTCCTTATCCCAACGCTACCATTGGCTCCTAAACATTTAAATTCGAGTAAGACCTCTATTCAAATCTATTTGAATGTTTTTCTTTTTGTTTTGCGTTTCTCTTTTCTTTTTTTTTCATGTTTTGCTCCGGCCTCGTCTTCTGCCTCTGATTGGCTGATTTGAATTTTCAAAAAGTGACAAATCCCCCTTTTTTCATCCTCAGAGACACAGGATGTACACTCATCCTTTTCCATCCCTCCCTCCCTCCTTCCTCCTTCCTTCCCCTCTTTTCTTCATTCCTTCTCCCAAAAACAACCAGATGGTGAGACAGCAGTGGAGAGACAGACAGCGACAGCCGGCGGAAAGCCCTTCGGAGAGTGACATCACAGTCTCACTCTCACACTCTCTCTTAAAGGGTATAAAGGCCTCATTGTATCCCCCATCACATGGAAAAATGTTGGCGGAACATTGTGAATTTGACAGAGTGCATCCATGATCCAGGGTCAGTGTGACAAAACACTCACACAGAAGCTTTACCCCGCAGTGTGTTCGTGCATAACGGACCTTTTCCTGGGTTCCTGATTGGTATGACTGGTGTTTACAGTATGTGCACTGTGAAGGACGCTAGTAAAAAAGAGCGTTGTCTAAAAGTACAATTGTGTGTGTAGTTAGTCTTTAACACATGTTTCTTTAGTAACAGAATGATGGATCTGTGTATGTTAACATGTGTGAGGTCAATTGAAAGGCATAATGCAGTGCTCAGTGTTTCTCAGACAGTGGGACTAGCATATACATTTGAAACAGGGAAATTCCTTATGCAAATTAGAGGAAGCCTGGCTTGACCACAGTCTTGTGACTTTGACAGTGTGATGAAAAGGATCATAAGAACTGTCTCACAAAATATAAACACCACCAGAAACAAAACCGCATGTTGTGGCAACATTCAGACATATTTAAGTCAGATCAGAGCCCGAAAATACATTGGATGTTCCTAACAAGATCATTTCTGCTAGTTTAATGTAAAAGTTGTTATAATATAATTTACTAAATGCAAAATTTGTGTTTTTACACAAGCAAATCTTAACAGTGAACTAAATGGAAGAATAACAATGTCTAGTTGAGACTTATTTTAACATTTCCACACAATCCGAGTTTTCCTCTATGGATTTAGAAGACGTTTAGAAGAAGCGGAAATAACATTCTAATTTTTTTTTAATTGTAGTTAACTAAGAACTCAGAGCTTTTTGACAGAAGACTTAGCACTTTAAATTAAATAATTAAGCTTCACTAGACATCTTTTTCCAGATTTCTCATTTCCCAATCATGCTAATACTGTATCTAACATTTCAGAACCTCACGGACACTTACTTTGACGTCCTGCTCCAGTGTTCGTATCAGTTCTCCATCCACCTGCCCTGTTTGGGCCACGCGCAGAGAGCGTCGCTCTGCCTTCCTCAGCCGGTACTGCAGGATGCGGCAGGTCTTGTTAGCCTGAGAAACAGCAGCAGTGTGAGTGGATGAAGCGGTTTCATATTAATTATGTAGCTTCAAGGGAAATTCACCAGGCAGCAGTTATCAAAATACAAAAGAAGAAATACAGACATCCATAATGCACCAGGACTTGTGTAGCACCTTTATCTCAAAGATTCAGATGATTGATTGTCCATCATTTTACTTCCCTGCTTCCAGAAATGTGTAGCATCCATCTATTTTATATATGTAAAGTGAGGCACTGCAAGTATATGGGAAAATATTTTTGACTTAATTAAGTTCCTCAGTTGGTAACATTAGGGCAATCAGTTTTTGAAATGCATTAAATATGCAAGTAAGGCAGTATCTTATTAAACACTTGCTCATTTGCATTTATTTCCAGAACAAAAGTATGAGCATTGGATAAAGCCACATTTAAATTCTCTATATCTCTTTGTATCGCTCTTATCAATCAAGAACTACTGTCAGCCATTAAAAAGCAAACTTGGGGTATGTTAAGTGCTGCTAGAAGTTTGAGAAGTAACTCATTTTGAGAACATTTAAAAAATATTAACTAAAAGATATCAAAACAAAACTTTTCCAGTTGTAACAAAACCAATATTTCAGCATTTTTCTGAAATGAACTATTTGAATATAAATTGAGGCATTATCTAATGCTAACTTTTGGTGGAATTAGTATAAATCTAAAAAGTATATAAACAAAATGTTTAAATGTTTACACCTATTTATTTTTATTTTAGTCTGAAAGAAGATATGTTAAAGAAGCAAACATGGCCAAATCAACCGGTGTATAAAGAAAATGCTTTTACCTCAACGACTCGGCATAACATTTCATAACAGGATATAACAAAAAATGAGGTCACAGATTAATTGAGAGTGCTTTCATTTATCCGGCTAGTCCTGCACAGTCTTACCTGCTCCATCTGTTGCCGTAAGTCCTGCAGCTGGTAGACGTCGTCCTCCATGTACATGTCCCTCATCTCCAGCATCTCAGACCTCAACTCCTCCATCTCATCCTGCTCACAGACAAGCAGAGTGTATAAGTGCATTTGTCATTTTAACACTACTCCTGCAAAATCAACCTGCATGGAGAGAGCTGTTTTGTGTTGTAGAGACTCTTAATTGTAACTCAAAGTGCTAACAGCATTATGGGCCCATATGTGGGCCATAAAGGGAATGCTTTAATGTTTAATAGGAACCATTAGCGCTTTTGTGCTAAATGCAAGACAACCATCATCATCATCATCAAAATATCATCATCCATTAACCTTGTTCATAATGCATCCCATAAATCACTGATGTTGTCATTAGCCACCACGTTTTCATGTTCATCATCCTCATTATCAGCCTTTACAACAATGACTGTCTTCTTAAAATAAACTGCCATGTAATATTCTCCCAAGTCAGATAAAAGGGGTCATCTGAAGCAGAGATCTAGACGATGTAAGTGGCAGAATGATGCACTAAGTAATATAATATGATACTGTATTGATTTTCTTCTCTGGCTCGGGCACAGGAGGTCAAAGGTCAGGGTCAGGTTATCAGATTGCCTGAAGAGACTCTTACCCTGCTGGAAAACTGGAGAAAAGTAAATTCCTACACTATAAAAATTGTGAGGTGTGGAATACAGATCTCTTGTGTCTTTTAAATATAAACGTTAGCCTAGCTTTTCTAACACAACTGATTTGGCAGAAACTACTTAGCAGATCATTTTGGGTAAATGGTGGGCCATTTTTACGGAAAAGCCTATCTGGCATGCTGGTTGGCATGAAGGATGCAGGCAATCAGAATTATTTGTGTCCAACCCAGCAGGGTAGCGAGTACAAGGGTAAACAGCGGATACGCTCCATGCAGCCCACCACCTTCATCAGGTTCCCGTCAGTCAACATGTTAAACCTTTGTTCCAACAAAATAGATGCATGCAAGAAACCAGGTCCATAGTAGGGCTGAACGATTAATCGATTTTAAATCGAAATCGCGATTTTAAAATGTAATTATCAAATCGCAAAACCTGCGATTTTGTTGTTGTTGTTGTTCTTGTGTGTCAGTCATCCACACCAATCAGAAGTGCTGTGCTCCACATTTCCACGATTTTGGGAAAATATCTAATTGCGATTTTTCTGACAAATATTGCGATTGCGATTCGATTTGCGATATTGTTTTTAAGCGACCCAACGGAAGTTTATAGTAACATGCGGCCATATCTCCCTCTAGGAAGGTCGTATCAACGTGCTCCCGTCTCTAGCACCCCAGCAGCCCGAGCTACGAGTGAAAGAACTAAACTTACATGAAACTTCCGTTGGGTTGCTTTAAAGTCAAGCTTCAGTTTAAGATTCACCCTGTAATAGATGTAAAACTTGTGATGGAGCATTACTAACCTGACTCAGATGGTTTGTTTCACCAAACCATCTAGGAATGCTCCATTGGAAGCCATTTGGAAAGGGCAGGCACTTTCAAAAACACTTGGCAGGTGATTGGATCAATCTGTCTATCACCTTCTATCATGGGCCACTTCTGATTCAACCCTGTCTCCTAAAAAATACGTTCCCACAGAACTAAACTGCATTCTCAATTATGTTTAGCAAGAAACGTATTTTCTCCCACGTTACTTTCGTTATGAACGTATCTCAAATACATTTATTTTCTACATATCTTCTATAAACATATTTTCTCCCACGTTACGTTTCT